AGACAGACAGACAGACAGACAGACAGATAGATAGATAGATAGATAGATAGATAATATGTTAACGGTTTAATGATGTAGTTGAACCAAGTCATGTTAAAGAAGAATAAGAACGTGAGAATGTAGAGGCGATTCCAAAAATGTGAGCTGTTAAAATGCAGCAGTTTAGTTCTTTTGTAGTCAAGTGTCCTCCCAAATGGCATGATGACATTACAGCTTATTCAATTATAAAGATATAAGAGATGAAGGCCTTTGATAATTCAACATAACTGTGGACTTATAATTTGTGTTCAAGATTTAAATAAACAGTTGACATCTCAAAATGAAATTATTTGAACTTAGATTAGAATCTACTTTTATCCAAACGGAACTTGAGAAACGTGGTTTAAACATCAGCTAGCGAAATATTTCTAACTAAAATACTATTGAAGTCAGCGGTACTACCATCCTACCTGGCATTATAGTCCTCTTGTTTATGACTGTGAGATACACATCAAGTTGATCTAGATCTACCTCCGTCTTCGCTGATGCGATGCCAAACCGTTTATTCAAACTTTTTCCTCAGAAACTGATTTATCCTCCTTACATCGAAAACACCGCTCTCATATTATATATATCCCACCCTTGTCGCGGGGAAACCTGCCGAACGTCAAGGCCGCTTTGACTATGAAGAGTGGCGGGCGGGAGAGGAGATAGCCTAATATTGTGTGCGCGGCAGGCAGTCAGTCAGTCAGTCTTCCCTTCTCCGCGTGTGCGTGTGCCTGTGTGGTGTAACTGCGTGAATGTCGAGCCCCTCAGCCCGCAGGTAAGATCGTCGAAGGTAGGGCGGGGAAACGAGGGGGTTCCCTGACGTCATCACCAAATGGGGAAGCCCGATTTGGGCGTTGACCTCGTTTCGACTCCGTGTCTGGGCGATACAAACTTGACCTGTGAACGAAATGCTGATCAGGGTGCCGATTTTCAAATGTTAACAAAGGAAGAGAGAATATTGTACGTGGTTTGATAATATATTCTAATAATATGATAAAATGTAAAAAGACGGTCAGGTCATGTCAACATACAATAGAGACATGTATACACAAAGCACAATTGCTATGTAGACTTAATCGCTCGCACACAAATGCACATGCACACACACACGCACACACACACACACACACACACACACACACACTCAAACACACACACACACACACA